AAAAATAATACTTTTTTTTGTCCATTGAGGAAGTTACCTTCAGGACGTTTAAAAAAAATATTTTTTTTTAAACTGGCAGCAGCTTAAAGACCTGCCTGAAAAAATCTTATGCTGAAAGCTGGTATCAGAAGAGGCCGCAACATCCACCTGTTCGAACTTGGAGAATGTGTGAACAGAAGACAAGGTGCCATGCCATGCCTGCTCTTTTATGCGCCAACAACCGGGAGATCCGGGCCGAGCCGTCGCACCGGAAGCGCGTCACTGCTCCAGTGACTCACTTCCGCCCTCACTGCGATGCCGCTCCGACTCACTTCCTGAGTCCACCACAGCCGCAAGTGAGCCGGCGACGCTGATACCCTCCCGTGCGAGACACCATGCGGTGCTGCGGCGAGGGTACAGCCATCAAAGGAGAACCCAGAGGGCCCTTGAGGGGGGGGACCCCTTGCCCATCAACCACATGAGGTAAGCCACTTTGCCAACTGCCAGCCTGTTCGCACTGCGGCTCTGGCAACCACACTTCCCAAGGGGATGCTCCGTGTTAGGACTCACCGCACTGCACACCAGGGGGGGCCACCGTCTGGAGCCACTCACGTCAGGAGGATGGTTTCCCTCCCTGAGCGATGGAGGGGAACCTCGGCCAACTCGCATGGGGGTCCGATAGGGGAAAAGACCCTGTATGTGCCGCAGCAGGCTATGCCCGGAGTGGTCCCAACACATGCAGGGTCAGGCTCATGCCCTAAGGCAATCAAATCCTGAGCCCATGTCCCTGTGTAGCCGGAGGAAACACAAAAAAACTGAATTGGAATGGAAGGAGGAGTCTTTTTATTTAATGTGGTTGATGCGTTTCCTGTTGCAGGCAGGCGGAGCCTTCTCTCATGGGCTGTCCTGGAAGATGACTGGGGAAAAGACCAAGAAGCACTTACCAGAGTGCACCTTGACAGGAAAGGGTGTAACCTGATCTGAGAGACCATGAACTTGGAAGATGGTCTATCTGAGCCAACTAGAGGTAGTGGAACGACAATGAGGTGCACCCTTATGGTGTGTGTCCACAGAGGATCTGCCAGGTGTCTTACTAGGTTGGCATACCACATCCACATCTACCTGGGCCAGACAGAAGCAATGAGGATTACTGGAATGTCCTACATCTTAATCCTACAAAGCAGATGAGGAAGTGGTTTCAGGGAAAGAAAGACGTAGATCAGAGTGTACTGATCCCACATAGCTACCAGAGCTTCCACTAGAGGATCTCTGTACCTGAAAACAACCCTGTACAGTGTGTTGAACTTTAAAGCTGGGAGGTCAAGCTGCAACGCAGGTCCTGAACACCTTTGGGTGTAGGGACCACTCCCTCAAGTCAAGACGTTGTCAGATGAGGAAGTCTGCCTGCCAAATAAACACACCTAGGATGTACATAATTGACCAGGTTGGAATGTAATGTTCTGCTCAGGACAGAATGCAACCTCTCTTGATGCAGTAAGACATCTGGCAACTCCCTGATGTTTGACAAATTCCACCATAGTGTTATTGTCTGACGTCAAACCGGATAACCCTCCAGTATCATGGCTCAACGAAAAGGCTGAAGTTCCAGGATCAGATGATAAGACTACGTCAACATCCAAGTGCTCAGCACCGACATGGTGTCCAGGACTCCTTCCCAGGCCGCTAGGCTGGCTTTCATAGTGAGGATCTTTAACAGTCAGAAAGGAGGGATTTCTCTAATTCCAGAAGTGGATTCCCAAGCCACCAAACCAGAGACAACCTGGTTCTTGGTGCTAAACAAATCAGTGTGTCCAGGAGCCTGATTGACTTGTCCAATGGCAAAAGGATATTGCGTTGCAGAGGTCTGCAGTATAATGGGACAGCCTTCGAGGCTACCATCAGGCCTAAGACTAACGCAAAAGCAGAGTGTCAGATAACTCCTGGACTGGAGAGCTTGATTCTGAGATAGGAGAGACTGAAGTTGTTCCTGTGAGAGAGAGACCCTTGACTGGATCCATATTCTCCAAAGTAGTCGGTTCCAGCAACGATTTCTGAAGGCTCAAGAGCCATACGAACCACTGTAATGTCTGGACAGAGTCCCTTTTATTAGACAGGGCCTGCGCCAACTGCTCCTTCATCAAAGGGTCATCTAAGTATCTCAAAAAGGGGATGGTGCCTTGCTGAACACCTGTGGTGCAGAAGATAGCTGACAGACAGAGCCACAAATTGGTAGGGCAGTAGTCACAGAAAAACATAGGAAACACTGATGTACACGTCAGCTAAATAGATACCAAACATGTAAAGCCTTAAAATTGCATTCGCACGTACAGCCACAAAAAACGTCAATGCCCACAATTTCCCATAGGGAACACTTTAAACGCTTTTATCACTCATCACTTTAGTGCCAACAGTGATTGATCGCCCTAAAATGATTGCTCTCAATTCGCGGCGATATGTAACATGTGTAGCGCAATTGTCGTTTTTGCGTATGTATGTGCGTGCACGTGGGGGGCAGGGGGACTTTAAAAACATTTTTTGCTTTTTTTTGAATATGTTACTCTAATTTTGAAACACTTTTTTTTTTTACACTAACCCTATTGCTATCACATAGGGGGCCAACAAGCACCCTATGCAATAGCAGATAGGGTGTGGCGGGTCCTCTTTATGGAGACATCAGGGGTCTTTTAGACCCCTAATGTCACCTAAGGAGCCCAGAGAAGATGAGGAAGCAGAGATCTGCTTCCCCAGCTTCATCTCCTGGCTCTAAGAGCCAGAGACTGTAACGAGTGACAGCAGTGGTCCAGTAATCAGAGAAGAGATAAGCAGCTAGAAGCAGCTGAATCTCTCTCTGATCATTGCGGGGAGACCTGCCAAGCCGGTCCCGGGCACCGAACAGTGACAGCGAGCCCAGGGAAACCGACGGAGGCCCCGGACGGGAGTCGCACAGTACAAACGCTGGATCGCTTGTACATTAACAGCCATCGCTGGCTGTTAAAAACGACACCAAGAACACGGCTTCTGCAGCAGCCGTGTTCTTGTTTTAACCACTTCTGCGGGCCGCCTATAGACTTATTGCATCCCAGAAGTGGTTAAGAGGGGCAGATTTGAGTGGGTAATTCCATTTTCCAAAATTACTTGGGAAAGTGAACCTACCCTTTGATGCACATTGTGCATGTTAGAGAGCGCTGCTGCCCGGCTACCACAATATGGCACACAGTGGAATGGGGGCAGCAGCGTACACACACTTATGCACATGCAGATGGTGGGGGCGGCAAGGTTGGTTTTAAAATAGTTTATTTTTATTTATTTTATTATTTTTTACTTTTATATTACTTTAATTTTAGTTATTTAATTATTTTTTAATTTGTATATTATCTTTTACTTTATTTTTTAGAATTATAAATTTTTATTTTATACATTTTTATATTTTTACTTTATTTTATAATTTTTTTTTACACTTAACATTATTGCCATCACATAGGGACTAAGAAGCTCCTGAGTGATGGCATTCAGAGGTGACAGGTTCTCTTTATAGAAACCTGTCACTTCCAATACAGTTCTGTGCTCGATCTCCTGTGACACCTGAGACACACGAGACAGGAAGGCTGCGATTCCTGTGTCCCTTAATGGACCCGAAAAATTCTAGTCCTCTCTCTTACTCCTTGGTGTTCACAGCATCCCATCTCTAGATGTTCAAAAGCAGTTCCAAAACTGTGGGTAAATCAAAAGTTTTGCATTTATATGCTAAACATGGCAGTATATAAATATTTCCCACCAACAAGTGCACTAAGCTGTAGCAATAACAAGCTTGTGGTCTTGGACATAAGTCTAAAAGAGACAAGGAGTGTAAGAAGACTCTCCCGAAGGGATTACATCCAACTGAAACAGGTGTATGAACAGGATTAGCAGAAAATATCGATGTAGTTGGTAATTGTGGCCCTTAAGCAACAACTTTTACTCATGGTTTTCCTGGTTATCATCAAGAGAACATGAAAGGGAAAGCAATAAATAGGCTTACAACAGCCTCTATATGCCAAGTTAGTGTTAGATTGGATAGCAAGAATGCAGAGCCTGTGTAAGAAATGAGTAGATAAGGCCATGTTAATATACAATTAGAAAAAATACACACTTTTTAAACAAATACTTACAATAAGATTTACACCAAGTTAATCTGATTACATGTTGGTTTGATGTACCTGAGACAATCCATGTGGATACATGATGGTGACTTGTACTCCCCTTGACTATCCTTCTGAAAGCCAATCTCTTGAAGCATGCTCATCCCATGAACTGTAGCCCGAGTCTCCACAAAAGGCCTGGAACAATTAGGGGTTTATTTAATACATTAAATTGCCACATTAAGCTATTTGGCTGCAGAGTAGGAGTAAATTTACCAGTCAAAAAAGTCCCCATTGTAAGTTACAATTATACTTGGCTTTGTTTCCTGAACGTGCTCAAACCAACGCTGTATAAGGTGTGCCTGGGTAATAAAAAAACAACAACTTTATTACCATGTTTTAAGGCTGCAAACTAAATCCTAAGAACTGTATCAATAGCAGCTCTTTATTTGTGATGTCTTTCTGTAAAACAAGTCTGCAATGTTTACAGCAATCAATTCTCAAAATCAATATTCAAAGAATATTCCGCAACATGTACATCTGGGTCAACTTTTTATATATTTATAAATTTGACTATAAGATCACACTTATTAGATGCTTTAACGGTCAATTATATAATGCATGCAAGACCAGAGAATGGCTAATGGCACAGAAAGGCTGGTATTTAACCTTTTTATATACACAAGTCAGCAGGTATTTTTTTTCTCCCTAAAACAGTAAACAAAACCATTTAACAGATCTTATGTGCTACCTCATCTGGCTCATTGAAGATACAGAAGGGTCCCTCGTATTCTGGTTTTGGAGTGAACTCAAAGTCTTCAATATCTTCGGAAACAATCTCCCTGTTTGTAATTAAATAACCCTGGAAAAATAAAAAAAGCAGTTAAATGCATCAACCATTCTTACCTGTATCCTTGGACTTTGCAGATAAAACAGAAGAAAGACACACCTGCCCATCGATCATATAGGAGATCATCATAATTTGGTCAGTTTCAGCATCTGGAAACTTCAGAGGTAGTTTTGTGGTTTCAATGTCAAATGCCAAGACCACAGGATCCTACACAAAAAAAAACACAAAGATTTAAGTGAAAAACTTTAAGACTTCAATTTGAACAAAGTGAATTTAGATTTTCATTTATGGATGGGAAAAAACAAACAAAACCTAATTTGCATACCGGCCTTTCTACAAGATCATCCCGCCTTGTGATATCTGGGGGTGATGAACTTCCACGATACCGCACATTGTACCAGTGAGCCTGGTAAAACAAAAAAGCCACAGTCCATAACAATAGTACTGTAGTATTAATAGGTATAAAAAAGTAAAAACACAAGTTATACAGTCGGGCTGGCAACAAAAGTTAATTGCATTGAAATACTGACAATTCAGCAAAATTGGATAACCAAAACAAAAAAACAAAATCATGTGCCGACACTCAAATGCAGTATAGCAATTTCAAAAGAATATCTGCAAGGCAATTCAAAAATATTTACCAGAACACTAGATTTTGTGAAAGCTAGAATGCAAAGCAGAGTTTACAACCTCACGTGGACCTTACATTTGAAATGTTAGCTATAAACTCTTTCTCCCAGTGAATTGAACGTGTTTGGAATTTGAAGTAGTTGTTTAAGCATTGAGAATCCCGTTTGTTGGCTTTTACTTACCACATGTATTTTGAGATCTATAGAAAGGCGTACATGGTAGGGGACATCATATTCTCGTATATCAATTAAGTTCTCCATCTGATCAGATATCTTTTTGGATGGGCCTTCCTCTTCAGGGGCGAAGCTGTTTCCAGTCAAAGCACTGTATAAAAACCAAAAAATAAATAAAATCTAAAAAAAAAAGTGATACATGCAACTGTTTATTCTAAAACAGAAAAACATTTTGTGTTATTGTTACTTTCTGTGAGAAAGGGATACCATCTGCAGTATTACCCATGCATGCATTAATTACCACAATGAAAATTAAGGTAGAAGAATACGGTTTCCATCATTCTTCACTCACTCGTCATTACCAGTGTATACAAATCTATTTATAAGGTTCTTAGACGGATGTTGCGCAGTAAAGAGGGAAGAGAAGGCGGAAAGAATAAAGTAGGGTAACATAAGACCAAAGAAAACAGAAGGTTGGGTCTTGCCAACCTAAGGCATAGGAAGGATAGTTCAGAAGGATGCGAGGGAGGCAACCAAGTTCTAGTGGGCAGCTGTAATGCTCTGGACTACAAATCCCAGAGACGTCAAGCTTATCTCAAGGATGAGCCCAGCTGTAAAGCTTGGCAAAACTTTAATTTCTATTTGTTGTCTGTTCTTGCAGTAAACTTCAAGGAAACTGACTCAGTAGCATTAAAAGTACTTTACTTGGCGAAAATGCTGCGTGTACAAACTTAGTTACAGGAAAAGCAAACAAATACATCAACAAGACAGGCTGCTACAAACATTCACATGCACCCACTACACTATCTTCTAGTACATGTATAATTTCACAGGAGGGGAAACACTGAAAAATAGGATTTTGGTACTCACCGTAAAATCCTTTTCTCTCCGTTCATTGAAGGACACAGGGAACAGATCGGAGATCATGTACTGTAGTGTAATATCGCCACCTGCAGGAGAAGGACGCTAGGCACAAAAAAACTAAAGACCAATTACAGCTTAGGGGCGGCCCCTGCCGGTGGCCAAACCCCCCACCTACTGAGAAGTCTCCAGTTTAGTAACAAGCAGTAAAGGAGTACACACCCACATAGAGGGGCGGGCCCTGTGTCCTTCAATGAACGGAGAGAAAAGGATTTTACGGTGAGTACCAAAATCCTATTTTCTCTCCCGTTCATTGAAGGACACAGGGAACAGATCGGAGATCATGTACTGTAGGGACGTCACAGAGCAGTACCAAAAAAGAGGGGTGGGCCAACAGAAACAACAAACCCAACTAGGATAAGCTACCCCATTGTGTAAAACCAGTTTGGGCTGTATTGTTGGCCATTTCCATTGTATGAACCGAGTTTCTATCAACAAACAAACAAAACCTCCGTCTCTCTTGCAAATTTATGTGTGTCTGAAAAAGTCCACTAAGATATATCGCAACACAGCAGCATACAAAATCCAGGGCTGCCAAGTTTTCAAGACCTTATTATGAGAGTCAGCCAAGAAAGCAGAATATTTTATCATTAACCATGGTGCCTGTAATTTTGCACTTCCCTTTGTTACTGCCAAGGATGGGGGGGGGTCTTCCATGACCTTGCTCTATAGTGTGTTTGGTGGTGCTGAAAACGTGAGTAAGCAGGAATTGCAGGGGACCCCGAAAACCACGGCGGGGTGATAGGTACTTTGGGAGGGACACGACACGGACAGTTTCCTGTACGACACTCCTCCTAGATCACTTGTACAAAACAGCTCCCTTGCTCTACATTTAGCCCTGCTTGCCCACAGCAGGGCTAAATGTCGGAGAAAACGACCCACCCGGTGCCTGAAACTGCATGTCCGGGGAGTTGGGCGATAGGAATTCGGCACCCCTGAGGTATGCTATATGAAATGGAGCACATAAAATGTGTGTGATGCCAATTTGGCTGCAAAAGTGAAACTCCAGGCAGATATAAATAGCAGCACTGTATTCATAAAAGATGTGTTTTTTTTAATGCATACAGTGTATACACAGTTCCTGTAGAGAAGAGCACAGGCCCCGACTAACATCTATCACACCGTTCAAGTATGTTTTTTTCACAATGCATTTAAGCACACTGAACTTCTGCATGTTCTTGACTATCATTATATAAAAAGATACCCATTCATTTCATAGTAACAAAATAACTTTCAAACCTTCTAAAACTAATACCATCAGCTTTATGGTCTCATGCTGAATGAGCCTTAGTGGTCATCCCTTTATAACCATGCACATTTCCAGAGATATAGAATAAAACTAAGGTGGTGTATTCTGCAAAACGGCCAGCAGAGAATATGGTTTTCAAAGGCAGGTGTGTCACTAGAAGCACCACATTTCCATACAAAAAAAGCCAGTCCTCTAAATCACTGTCCCAAGCCTTGACCTGATGGTGTGTACTGTCTGTAGTCACTCACAAACCACACTTTGAAAACATTACTCTGGCAGGTGGAGAAAACACTGGATGTACAAGAAATGTAAAAAAAATGCTTCTCCAGCAAGACTATTTATTTTCTTTCATGTCTATAACAAGGCACAACAGATAAATTGATAGGAGACATATTAACTGCATATATGTACCTCGAGAGCATGGTTGTATATGCATCGCTGGCATTATCCCTCTCCTTGTTCTTCCGCACAGCTGGCGAGATGTCTTTTCTCACTTTTATCAGGTCGTCCACAGAATGGAATGATAGCTTGATATAATTTCTTTTTAGTCCTACCAGATGATTTGGCTGAGAAAAGGAACATATCAATGCACATCTCGGATCAGGAGAAAGATATTCTTACATTGTGTCAACACACAAAAACAAATGACTGTCTCTTAACAATTGCATTATTTTCCATCATGGGGTAAAGATATATTGGAGAACCTGGAACGGAAGAGTTAGGTGATGAAAATGTAGAACTAGATAAAGTGGTGTTCACTTCTTTGGACTGATTATTTTGTACACCTCCAACCGCTTACTTTATCAACTTAAATGCATTGTAATCAGTAAGATACAGTATGCCTTTGGCAAATTTCATTGTGTCAAAATTTTGAGAATGATCCCTACAAGCCAATTAAACCTTGTCCCCCACCAGTCATTTTTAAGTGCATGTTCCTAGTGGCTGTGAGGAAACACTAACAATACCAAAAAAGTAATATATAATAATGACAGAGCATACACGTTATACCAAATGTGTCATTAAGGTTTACTTTCCAACATTTTATTGAAAGCAAATGGCCATAGTGAAAAAAAAACCTTTAGGTGGATAAATCTATAACAATTATGTTTAGTATATTATCTAAAAGCTATAGTAGTAAAAAATAAATACTGACCAAATCCAAATCTTCCTTAGCAAAAGTCTCCAGTTTTGCCAATTTTCCCTGGAACTTCTTTGAAAGAAAGGATGAGACTTCCCTCTCACAACCCTGGCAAAAAAAAATTATATTTATTTAAAGGGAAATACCAAGAAATTAAGTATAAATTAATGACTAGCTGGTATAGGACAACCTCTGTACTCTTCAAAAATTTCCCTCAGCAAACAGATTGTTGTTGGCACTGCCTGTCGCACAAAAGGCACCTTGCTTCACTTTTTTTTTTTTTAATGCCCCTGAACCACTCCCTTCTGGAGTCAGGTACTGGGGATTATTGAGAATTTGACTGGCTCCTCCTTGACTGATGACCCCGCAGCAGTCCTCCTGAATCTAACCCCCATATCTGGGAAGAGAAATAGGAAGTCATTACTGAGACACCTGCTGAGCACGGCTCGTGCGTGCATCCCAAGTGTATGGAAGCAGACTCGGCCTCAAACTGTGGCTCAGTGGTTGGCCAGGGTGTCTGAGATCTGGGATATGGAAAACCTAATTGCCACTTTGAAGAACACAAATGAAGCCTTCTCTAGTACTTGGTTCCATTAGGAACAGTTTCCTCGGAATATCAAACGCTCCTCTAGTGCCCTATAGTTTGTTGGACCCCCGCTGGCCCTGGGGGAACGGATGTTACTTTATCTTTTATCTTGCTCTCCTCTTATGTTCTCCATACTGTACCTGTTTTCTGCTTGCCCCTTCCCTTTCTTCTTTCTCATTCATTTTCTTACTCATCTCTCTAGTTGAAGTTATCCTCTTGGTTTTTATATTATTTTCTAAAACTTATAACCCCACTGATGACTGGGCAGATTATGACTCATCTGCAGTGAAGGGTTGTGTGAGGCTAATTACTCGTGATCTTGGTGTTCATAGTACCTTCTTGATGTCAAGACTATTGAGACTTTTAAATCTTTTCAATCTTTTAATGTTTAAATCTCTCACACATGCATTTCTCTTGTGCTGCCTGTACATTGGTGGATTGTTAAAGAAAAAAAAAAAAAAAAAAAAAAAAAAGCATTTACCCAGGAGTTGTACCTGCAGAGTATTTTGATTGTCTCCTACACCGTTTTATAAAAAAAAAAAAAAATACCCTTTGCACTTTACAGGAAATATTACATAGAAAGAGAAAAGAAAATGCTGAACAATAATCAAACAGAAAGTGCCTTGCTCCTAACGATGATAAGCTAATAACTAGTGTCCCATGTGACAAAGATGTGTTGGAGATGTGAAGTGGAGGAGGGCACAATGCTGCACATATGGTGGGCATGTCAGATAAAGCCCTATTGGAGAACTTTGAGATAGCGGATCAAGTTATGGGTTCAAGCTTAGCCGAGACCCCAGAAGTGGCATTAGTCAATATTTCCGGGTTCAGTAAAAAGCGTTAAGGAAGGATTGAAATGCCCCATATTGACAGCAGCAAGAGCGATAATTCCAAGATACTGGAGGTCATCAAACATTCCTCAGACTTGAAAGTGGAATTGAACCATACAATGCGTATGGAAGCATTGACAGCTCGCCTATATGATAGATACCCACTGTTTGTGGAAAAATGGAGACCATGGATGGCCTTTTTTGGCTCAACAGAGATCCAAGAGTATTCACAGTGACCTTTTTTTTTGTTTTGTTGGAAAGAGGGGGAGAGGGATATTGGGGATAAGGAGAGGCAGAGAAAGGTAGTGAGGTGGTTATGATTGTATTTTATTCTTGAAGAGAACAGTAAGTGAACAAAGATATGCATTATAAATAAGATTTTGTTGTTGGATTTTTCCTAACATTATGTGGTAAATGTGAATATTGCTTTTGTAAACCAAATGAAAATATATTCTTCACAAAAAAAACACTAATACTGTATATCTTCTCACTAGTAGAGTGGCAGGCAAGGGGTATTCAATCCCTGGTGCTATGTACCACAAATAAACCTTGTTAAGCAGAATGTCAACACAAATCTGGGCTTACCTTCTTTGTCGCCACGTAGAAATAAGGCTTGTATGGTAAAGCAACCTGCAAAAATAGAAAGACTTGAGAGGTTCTAGGAGTTTATCAAATGTTAAATAGGATATCATCAGAGTGTGTTTCCAGAGATATTCTGGTTATAAAGCGAAAAATCCTTTTTCTGTTTTAACCCTTTTGCTGCCAAGGACGTATGGCATACGGACCTACAAAAGTGCTTCCAGCTGGCCAGCTCAGTATGCCATACGGACCTGGCATTTACAGTTCTACTATAAGCTGATGGTCGCTTTAGCGACCATCAGCTTATAGTAGAACTGTTCAGCAGACTGTCCCCTTTAAATTAATAGCTGTCATCAGCGGCTCAACTGTAAAGTAGGCCGATCGCTTGTATGTGGTACCTTTGTGTGCGCCTCCCCTTCTCTCCTCACCTGCCGTTGCAGCGATCCCAGTCGTCTGATCCGGGACTGGCATTGTGGCTCTGTGCACGGAGGGAGGTAAGTACACGATCTCCCTCCGATCTCCTCCCCGTTCAATGAAGGAAGTTATGTTTATTACATCACTTCCGCATTCAGTTGTCACTCTCCGGCTACAGAAGCTGGTGTAACAGGTATCCCACAAATTGTTTGCTGAATGAGCTTGCAAGCATATCTGTGAAAAATTCCGCACTGAGAAGATATCAACTGAGTAGGGTGAGACCTACCTGGTGTGCCCACTGCTAATATGTTATATGCAATCTCAGTGTAACATGGCGTTTATGGTGACGGCGCCTCAAGACGCTCAGAGGATTGCAGACAGATGGGTGGACTCCCCAAAGAACTGCCATTACATGATATTATTTGAGGCAATTTGTTGGACGACGTTGATATCAGTGGCCAGCTGGCTTTGAACTCTGCATTATAGCAGTTTATGCTTGCTATTTGCACATACAACTGCAATCAGATCATTTGGGACACACGCATATTTGGATATAAATTGAGCTTGAGTTGCTTAGACTTCTACAGAATGTAAAGATGTGGATACAAATGATACATCTATTAACTCCGTATTCCGTGGATAAGCCTGGTTGTGTTTATCAATTGTGAGAAGATTGGCAAATGATTTGCATGCATACATACATGCGAACTGGGTCCACAGGCTATGCAATTTCCAATATATGCATGTATGTATTTATTGTGTGCTATAGTTTAATGTTGGTGTAGGGCTAATTGTTGTAGTAATAAACTCATGTGATAAAAAGTGCTAAAAATTTTGGTTACTGTGCTCTTTTAGGGGAACTATTTATTGATAATATCCAACAAAGAGGGGCCTTAAGAAGTTAGGTAACCTGAAATCACAGCCACTCTCCCCTTTTAGGAGCAGATAAAGTCCCAGAAGAAAAATAGGATTTTGGTACTCACCGTAAAATCCTTTTCTCTCCGTTCATTGAAGGACACAGGGAACAGATCGACACTGCATCAGCCGGGCAATGCCTCAGCAATTGGCAACTGTTTATGTAAGGCCTGTAATAGTGCTCAGGTTAAAGCCTGATCAACTAGGAAAGGTTAAAAGGAAAAGTTAATTTATTAAAATGTCTGAGACACTCATCACATTTCAAAGCTCACCTTAAATCTGCTTCCATCTTCCTGTATGAAGTAGTAGTCCACAGCGCTTACTAGACGTTTGTCTTCATCCAGAATTTCTGTCTGAAAGAATTAGAATCAAGAATGCTGATTGTTTTTTTTTTTTCTTCTCCACACTGTATTCTCCCTGTCAGAAACAGTTTAGAAATCCTACTCCACAAACTACAATCTCCATGAACTGAAACATAATTAACCTGGCACACAAAATGTCTTCCAAGCATCATGGGGATCACAGATTCAGCGTTTCCCCTGTCTGAGAACCTGGGCTTCAACAGCCACGCTATTAAAACCAGTGACCGTCGAGCAGGATGTTTAATAGGTTCTTAAAAAAGAAGATCCTGACGATCCAGCAGAGCCCACACAGCATCTGTCAGGAGTCTATCCAGGTTGGCATACCACATCTGCCTGAGCCAGTCCAGCGCAATGAGGATCTCTGGAATGCCCTGCATCTCAATCCTGGGTAGCTGAAAAGGAAGGAGTTTCAGGGGAGGAAAGACATAGACAAGGGTGTACTGATCACATAGAGCCACCAGATTATCCAATGCTTCCCTAGAGCACATGTGTCAAATTCAAGGCCCAGGGGCCGAATCCGGCCCACCAGGCCATTTCCTAGACTTCTACTTTCAGATCTAGGTATTAAGTTATTACTAAAACCAGTGATAATCAAATGCAGAGGCAATTATGATAAAGATTAGACGCATATCTATAGTCTTACAGATACCTTTGAGGGCAACCATAATGTTGATGCGGCCCACGATTAAATTAAGTTTGACACCCCTGCCCTCGAGGATCCCTGTCCCTGACAACAAAGCTGTCCAGTTTGTTGCTGAATCTGGAGGCCAGGAAGTCCACATCTGGTGTGCCCCACCTGCAATACAGGTACTGGGAAAACATCCAAGTGTAAGGAACACTCCTCCAGGTCTAGGCACTATCAGAGGAAGTCTCCTTACCAATTCATCTGTGCCTGGAATGTATACAACTGACAAAGCCCGAGCATAATGTTCTGCACAGGACAGGCACTGAGCTACAGCACGACTTCAGGCTCTCTCCTGGATCGTGGCATTGGCCGACTTAATCTGGATTTGACACTCTAGTAGGTTGGTAAAAAGCTGCCAAATTAACAGCTAAATTGTTCAAAGTTCCAGGATATTGACTGGAGGATGAAACGCCTCATCCAACCAAATCCCCTGCACCTAGGACTTCTCTCCAGCCGGATAGGCTGGCATTCATCCCGCGGATCCTCCAAAAGATAGGAAAGAAGGACTTCCCCGACTTCAGAGGCGGATTACTGAACCTGGTCCTCTGTGACAGACTAATTGGTCTATCCAGAGACTAGATCAACTTGTTCCACAACAACCGAATATTGCAAGGTCTGGCATTAAACTGGGCAAATATAACTGCCTTGAAAGAGACAACCATCAGATCTAGGACTCTCATGCAAAAGCAGAGTGGGATGATTCATGGAGTTGAGAGTTTGAATTGGAGACTGGAAAGTCAGAAGTTTTTCCTGTGGAAGAACACTCTGGTCTGAACAGTGTCCAGGACTATACCCAGATACTCCAAACAATTGTTCTTGGTTCAATCAAAAATTTCTGAAGGTTCGAGATCCAACCAAACCGTTATAAGATCTGGACAGTTCCTACTGTGTTAGGGAGACCACCGCCCCCCGCGGCAGGAGATGCAGGTTCACCCAAGGAGCGGGGTCTAAGTACCCAGAGCAGAAATGGAATAGTGGAGATGGGCTCTTAATATGGGCTGGTACCAGATCGTGGTCCTCAATCACACCGCCAACAGATAGACGATGACAGGAAGGCTACAGTGCAGAAACATGCAGACAGTAGGCCAATGATCATGATCACATGGGGGACGTGGCAGGTGACAAGCAGAGAATGATCAGGCAATTTGGGTCAGCAGGCAGTAAGGCAAGACAGGAGAAAAAAAAAAAAAAAAGTGTCGTCAGGTACAAGCAGGGGTCGGGGCAGGCACCAAACAGAGTAGTCGGGTGTTCCAGGTGAGCAAAAACAGTAACAAGCTCTTAGCACAAAACACGCCCAGCATCCTTTTAGGGAGTTCTGGAGGTTTTGGCACAGATTCTGCAACTACTATTGGAAATAGTTGGAAAGTGATCTGGGGCACCAGGTACAGTGGAACTATCCTATCCAATACCACTGCAGAAAATGCTACCAGCTGAGAGTCTGTGAACCAAAGATGTTCTATGGGGCTTAATGCAGTGTTAACACCTTCCACAGCAAACACTGGCTGGAAAGGGGAACTTAATTTAAAGGCGCCCAGTGACCTATGTAAACAAGATAGCTCCTTATGATCGGCCCGACCATCTGACTCACCCAAGTGCTGAGGCAATGCCAGCAGCTCAGGACCTGGAAAGCACACCATGTTGAGCCAGGCACCTGAAGGTCGCCTTCCTGCAATGTCCAGCCTAGTGGGGTACCCAAGTGATTCTCCAGTGGCCAGGTTGAGAATGACTGCACTGGATAGCTGCAATCGAAGAGACAAAGCTCCACAAGTGATGCACAGAAGAGTCTTGAATAAAGATAAAACAAAAATAACGAAGGAATGCTGGTAAGCTTACTAGTGTCCAAACCTTCAGAAAGCAGCGCTATTACCTGAAGGTTAAAGACTTCCTGTGTCCTGCAATGGACGAGAAAGAAATCATTAGGGACTAACAGTGAAATCACAAGCACCAAGGATCTTCACAAAGAATAGCCTTGTGAACCAGCTGTGCCCTTTTAGATTTCACAGGGTTGCCATTAGAATAAGCAGTAACATCTCCCCCCCCCGAAAAAATTTAATTAAAAAAAGTTACTATTATAACTTTGAGGATGCTATGGTAGCACTAGAGGGTGCATACACTGGGTAACTGTGTAATATAAAACTTGTTGAAAACATGTGGAACATGATGAAAAACCAGCAATATATGCCACTATTACAAAGAAGAGTTATAAATCACTGGGCAAGTTCACTTACTGGATGCATATTGAGTAACCAGCCTGTTTTTTCTCCAGGCTCCCGAATCCTCTCGAAGGCATATTGAGCATCAATTTTATCTGTCCACTGACTGCGTTCCAGTCTCTTGGCAGCGGAGCTTGAGGAAGCATCTTCTCTAAAGGGACAAGGATAACACAATCACGAATGTTAGAAGAGGGTTATGACAAACCATTTTGATGTTGCCAATCTTACAAGGAAAAGCATCATTCCCACCACACAAAACCTGCCATTACTTCTCACACATCATCCCAGAGTGTAGATACCATCTTACCGAACTACTGTTGATAACATTTCCCTGGACCTAGTGGAATGGTTACTCTGCCTTCTATTTGTTCCAGTTCAATGTAATGTTTTTTGGTTTTTTTTCCACCATTTAGGATCAGATAGAATGTCACAGCTAATCCCATTCAATCATTCTTCTACACCTCATTCCTATCAAGTGGGAATAGCCCTGCAGGGTTTTGCAATACAGCTCTACTGTTAAAAGGCATGCTAACACATTTGCATTCTTGTTATTGTTTGCATCATTTGTAACATGTATTTGGAAGCAGATCCCTAGCATATACAGTGGATTACACATTTGCATATATCCTATGTATTTTTGCTGAGTTCTTAAGAAGCCTCATCATGCTATTCTGTGTTGACATTCGCAAAGAGACCACTTGTTGGAACATTACTCTCTTTAGCTGTCCATCCAGTGACCCACATTTCACTGTCACCTTTAGTATGTTTTTCAAACCTACACCCCAGGAATGCCTGCAGGGCTTGAGGTTCTCTCTCTCTCAGATTCCCTGATGTTTAAGGAGCCATGGCGACAATTACTTTTGGAACTGCAAATGTTAAAGGGTGTAGGAGAGGCTGGCAAAGTAGAGAAGTGGGTGGGGATATGGGCAGGACATTAGGAAGAAGTGGAGCTTTAAGGGAGCAGTGGGAAAAAACAATGTACTAGATTCTGGCCACAGTGCTTCTGCATGTGCGATTACAGAGAGGGATATTAGGAATCCAGCATGAAATGTGGACACAGGCATACAAGAAATATGTGAATGTGGATCACAGCATTAATTCAAAAGATATTTTTAGTGATAGACAATTTTAAGTCAGCTTTAACTGCCTCCGGGCCGGCCGTAGTAAAAAAACGGCCGGCCAGGAGCTCTCTAGATCTGAGCGGGCGTCTCTAGACGTCCGCTCAGACACACCGCCGGGCGCGCGAGCGGGAAATGGCCGCAATTTAAAAACGGGCAGCGATGCCCGTTAATATACATGCGATCCGCCGGCTGTATTTAGCGACGATCGGTGCGGCCCCCCCTCCCTCTGCTGTCCCCCTCGCCATTGACCCGCTGATCCCGGGCTCCGCTGTGCCCGGTGCGAGCCCGGGATCAGCAGCTTCACCAGCGTATGGCACAGCATAGAAGAACTAAACCCTCTGGTCAGGATTCAGCAGTGTACCTACATCTGTTTTAACACCTCTCTCTGGGCAGGTTAATAACACCTCCTAGACTCCAATTATGCAAATGCCATCAACACCTGGTTGTGACTAACAGATTATGTGGATTTTTTTTTTGTACAAGTCATTCTGAATTGAGAAAGCTGGTTGGATGACCAGTAAAACTTCTTGAAGAAAACTACAGCAAGTCCAGTTGCCTTGACTTATTCTTTACAGGCGAATGGGGATAGCCTGTGTAGTGGCAAGCCAATGAGGGAGTTGCAATAGTCAAGATGAGAGATAACAAGGACGTGGATGAGTAGTTTTGTGGTTTCATTGGTTAGGAAGGGTCATATTTTGCATTAGAACCACAAGTACGTGGCCCATCTAAGGTGGGGAAAAGTATATTTTAAGGCCCTATTCACACACGAATCGGCCGGCACGTACAGCTCCGTCCAGGGACGTACCAAGTAGCTGCCGGGAGGACAGGTGCTGCGTGTGATCAGCACGCAGCCCCCGTCCTTCTCTATGGGGCTACGCGGTCGTAGGCCCCTTAAGCTCACCTCAATTGCAGGTCCGTATGGGTGCGGGTGAGCGTATCCATACGCCGCCAGAATGGATCCTGTATGCGTCCTGGCCAGAAAACCTGCACCCCTACGGACCTGCAAATGAGGTGAGCGTAGGGCCGCGTAGCCCCATAGAGAAGGACGGGGGCTGCGTACTAATCACACTTAGCACCTATCCTTCCTGGCAGCTACTTGGTACGGCCCTGCACGGAGCTGTACATGCCGGCCGATTCGTGCGTGAATGGGGCCTAATCCTGGAAGGGCCATGGGGATCCAGAGTCTTCCATCGATCTTTCAGGTCCTGTATGGTACTGTGCTGAGAGACTCCCCCTCTGCTGTGAAAACACACGGGTTCACCTGCTTGGCACAGCAGCTGTTCATTGACTGCCTAGTATTTATATCAATGAATACAAGGAGTTCTTTGGTTGATGAGGGGTGGTGACGTCAGGACAAGTATGATTTATATGTGTAAGCTGGAGCTCAGCTTAATGTAAATGGGGAAAACTTTGTAAAAAGATATTGTGCTAGGGCAGGTTTTCTACCCACACCATTTTTATATAATTGGGGTAACGCACTGGCTACTATGCCCTTCCCCCAACATATAAACCAACGGGTCAGTTTCCATGTAGGTGTCAGTGAGAGATATAACATGACTTCACAATTAATACTTAGGACTCCGCAGCGTAATATAATAGGAGTACGTACTGCTGGTTGTCACCGTCCCCCCGGGGCTCCGACCGGAATTTACCGCTGTTCTGCAGAACCATCCCGAACACAATCCACTTCCCGCGACACCAAACTCCCGCCAGCAGTTCTCTCCACCCTACCCTTGACCCTCCCACTCTTAGCTGCCAATCACTTCCATTCAGCAACACATCTGACAACCAATCACGGCTGACAATCACCACCCCTAACCCGGTTATCGCGATGTTTTCTGTATTGCGGCTTAGTTTTACCACACTTCGCCATGCATCGGTTCTCTAACCAATCAGCTTTACTGCTACTAAGGGACCGTCATGAAAGCTTAGCACTGAGGGAAACGTGCAAACGTCGTGAACACGCTTTTCTTACATCCGTGAGTGTTATATCCCACGTGTGTACATGCGTAGAAAGAATGAATAAACCTAGAAATGTACAATACACCCTTTAAGCACAAAAAAAGAGCACTGGAACACAGTCATGTGTAGAAGTGGGCGGAGAGACATCAGGGGGCTCGGCAAGCGTGGGAGGAGCCTTTGTCTGTCTGATATCCTCCTCCTTCTCTACAGCAAAAGCAGGTGTGATCTGCAGCGAGAAGTATGCCAGCTGCTTCTAAGGCGATCCGGGAGCTGGGCGATGTGCCCCTACACACACTGCTACTGAGGACCTACCTGCAGCTCCTGCACAGCCGGCCGGTCCTCACTAAGGCACTGACCAGGTAACCCCACATTCTCAGATGGCTGGGACTGGTGCACACCTACAAGGCATGCTGAGATTCCTGATTCCAGGTGGGGTATGACACACTTAGGGGTCGATTTGTAAACAATTTCAAGAGCCATGCACCCTGCAAATCTCTAAGAACGTTCACTCTGTCTGAATGGAGGACCAGTGGACATTCTGTCACCCGGGACGAAGGCTCAGAGTTAGTGTGCCCCCTCCCCTGGAGAAGTTCTCTATCCAAACCCCCCCCTGCCGCCACCTATCTGGGCTCTCTTTTCCCAGGGCGGCACCCCTCCTGATCCACCACCAAGGTGAGTCTTCAAATCCTCTCATTCTTCAGTGCTACTTTGTTAATTTAGGAGCCGCTTCTGTGCTACTTCTGTCACTTCTATTGTCCTGCCCCTTCTAATTTGTCATGGAGACTTGAAAGAAGTGATTTCAAGCCTCACCTCCGTGCTGGATCAGGAGGGGAACCCCCACACCAGAAGAAGAGAGCACAGAAGCGGGTCTAAAGAGACACTCACCCACCACAGAGGTCCACCATGCAGCAATACATTATGCAGCAATGCAGAATAACAGCAGCTATAGACTACAAATCCCAGCAATACATCATACAGCAATGCAGAATTATATAAAGCTACATACTCTGTGTTGCTCTGGAGTGGCGGCCTAATGTCTCCAGGGTCTCAGGAGGATGTGCAGGGTCAGTAACTGCTACAGATTCTGTCTCCTCCTAGTTTTGGATGCTCCGATGCCTAGCCCAATACTTCCTGTATCAGGAAGCCAGGCAGCGCGTCATTACACGCTGCCCGGTTTCTTGATTGGCCAGGAAACGGCTCCATGCTCTCTTGTCACTTGTGATGAGCGAGCATGGAGCCGACTTCCCGGCCAATCAGGAAGCTGGGTGCAGTGTAATGACGCAGCGCCCGGCATTCTGATTGGCGGGGAAGCCGGCTTCATGCTCCCTCGTCTTCTCATGACGAGGGAGCATGGAGCCGGCCAATCAGAATAGCAGGGAGCCGCGTCATTACACGGCGCCCAGTTTCCATGATTGGCCAGCAAGACGGCTCCGGCTGGGTACCGGAGGAAGGCCGCTCTTGGCTGGACAGGCCCCGGGGGTGACAGGCTGCACATACTAAGGTAAGAGGGGACTTTCTTGTTAATCGGGAAGCCGGGTGGCGAGTCATTACACCTGGCTTCCTGAATGGGACTTCCGGTAATTGGTATCGGCGAGTACCGAAAATAATTTATGGGTGCTCGGTACCTAAATACCGGTATCGGTGCATCCCTAATAAAAATATTTATTTATTTTCTCCTACATAGCAGCAGTGAGTGGGACTAGCGGGTGTAGTACAGAAGGGCTCTGTCTTATCTGTTGACAGCTCGCCCTCACCCGTGTCCTCTCCGTGCTACTCCCCGACTGCTCTCTGCACCGCTCCTAGGCCCCCCTTATCCTTGCGCCCTCAGGTGGAGTGCTGGCCCTGGCAGTGCCTGTAGAGTGGCGGCAAAGGGAGGGAGTGGTGCTGGGCCCCCCGGATCTGACAGTAGCCCTGCCGGTGGCGCCCCCTCCTGAGATGGCGCCCGGGACGCTCTTAGTATATTTTCTTTGCAGGTTGAATGTCCATTAGATGGAGCTGATCAACATAGGAAATAAATACTGATTTTCTACACTCCACAGCTCCATCTAGAGTCCATAATGCGGTATATGAAGAATGTTCTTTTTTTTTTTACCCCAGTTCGCACAGAATGAATGTTCATAAAGATTTGCTGGGCAAATGACTCTTTGAATTGTGTAAGAATAGACCCCCTACAGTGTCATTTAATGGCAAATACTGCTGATAAACAATGCCTTAAGCATTCGCATTCAGGCATTTCAAAATCCTTTGGTTATTAACACTTTTGCTGCCAGGCCCTACTCTCCACTTTTGACCAGTTTCAGCTTTTAATTTTTTCACAGTTTTCAAAATCTAAAAAAAAAAAAAAAAAACCTTGTAAAATTTCTATTTCAGGGATGCATAGATTTGTAAAACAACAACAAAAAACCCGCTTTCCCACTCTGTCCAGCAAAGAAAAACTTTTGTGTGGATATGTGCTTTTAACTTTGGCATAAACGGGTGGGGGGGATTTATCAAAACTGGAGCACACAGAATCTGGAGCAGTTGCCCATAGTAACCAGCAGGGCTGCCCCTACACTATTTGCCCCCTGAGGTGGGGGTAGGGTGCAGTTGCAGGTGCTGTCATTGGATTGTCATGTATGGGGGTGTTGTGGGTGCAGTCAGTAACTCTGTTGGGGGAGTGGCAGCGTTGCTGTCAGTGACTGCTCCTTACCTCTTGGTCCAGTGGCTCTGTCCAGAGTCCTGCCCAGCTCATTTACATCACTGGTTGCCAGGCGCTTGGTGGGATGCCAGACAGCACTCCTGGCACCTGGTGAAATCGGGAAGCCACATAGAGTGTTACAGGTTACTATGAGCTCTTAGCAACCTGGAACACTGGCTGCCGCCTAATGAGATGCCGCATTATAGTGACGGCACAGAGCCACATTTACTAGTTCAGCCACTGCGAATGCTGACCTGGCAAACCGCCGCTGAACGCTGTGCTGCAAGTCAAGGCTTAGCACTGTGAATTTAGCACTCGTAGCAGAAGGGAATGTGGTTGCAGATCGCTGAGTGTGATGTGCATAGCAGGAGTAGTTTGGGACAGAGCACCAGCGGCCGTGGTAACTGTGCGCACACATGGCAGCGATGGAGATGTAGGTTTGAAATCACAATTCAGTGTGGAAACCTACAATTTAATCTTTTGGTGGATGAAAAACTGTGTCTGACAGTAAAAATTGCACTAATGGCAGAGTTTAACACTGAATCCTCCGCCATTTTGCTTGGAACTGTGCAGCTGAAGCATTCAGTGAAGCTGCTGCAGCAGAACAGCTACTCCGCACTTGGCTAAGGAACTGAACATGCCTCTGGTAACCCATCAGCTTCTGCCTATAGTTTATTCAGTTAAGCTTTGAAAATGAAAGATAGAAGCAGATTGGGTCCTACTCAAATCATACGAGGGACACCATCTGCATGGTATATACAGTGAAGGGAATTTATCAGATCTGGAGCAGCTGTGCATGGCAACCATTCAGCTTCTCTCTTTCATTTTCAAATCTCAGCTGGACAAACTGAAGAGAGAAGCTGATTGGTTGCCATGTACAGCTGCTCCTTTTTTGATAAATTCCCCCCAGTATGTATTGTCTCCCTGTTTTAGGGCCCATTCACACCACATCTAGATCATCTCCAGACCATACCAGATCGTTCCTGGACCCAAAATGCATCCTAATGTATCCCTATGCTATTTCTGGCCTCTGGTCTCACCAGCGCAGTCCGTTCCAGACCAGAAAATACTGCATATCTCATTTTGTCTGGTCTGGAATGCACTGGAACTGCAGGCAAGTTCACACCATTTTCCGGACAAGATCAGGTCCGAAAATGGTGTGAACCTGCCCACAGTTCCAGTGCATTCCAGACCAGACAAAATGAGACAAGCAGTATTTTTCTGGTCTGGAACGGACTACGCTGGTGTGAACAGAGGCCAGAAATAGCATAGGGATACATTAGGATGCATTTTGGGTCCGGAAACAATCTGGTCCGGTCTGGAGATGATCTGGATGTGGTGTGGATTTCTTCAGGCTGCTTGATTCCTATAGGCAAGTTCATTGACTTTCTCCCAGGTTATCCCCAGTGTGTGATGTGATAAGATTGTACTCATCTTTGGGGGACAGGGACTGATGGCAGTAGATCTTCGTGCTTCATAAAGGACATCACAATATGTCCTTCCTATATAAATACTGGAAATAATACACAATAAAACTTTACTATTCTAACTTTATAAAGTGAGTAGTAACCCATCTCTATGCATGTGGTACAGCTCCACCATCATGATAATTAACAGCATCTAGTTTCATTTACCACTTGTTTGTATTTATATGTAACTGATCTACTTGTGTTTTCAAAGAAAATGTCTCGTCTGTGACATTCGTACTCTTCGGTGGAATTTTAAGTAATGATTGACCATAAAAATTACTTGTCTGTACAGCGGAATTCTGTCTGCTTTGGGAAACCTGCTTTCACAGAACATAGAGCAGAGGCGCAAATTTAAATCTTCAGCGGGAAATGTGGACCTGGTCGCACTTCTTCGTTTTGCCGCCTATGGGTAAGCCTGTTAGTTATGAACTGGTGTATAAGAAGTAAATCAATGATTTGCCTAAATAAATGTAATCCATTGCCGCAACTAATGAGCAGCTTTCAGTTGTTAAAGAGGAAGTTTATCCACCAATTTAATGTCCCCCAATACAGTTACTTTTAGGCTGGGTTCACACCTAG